AGGAAAACTTGAATGATGTGTCAAAAGTGAAACTTTATTTGAAAGAATGAAACGCGTCGATGTGTTATTGAAAGCAAATTAAAACCTGATTTACGATTTACAACATTGAATAATCCTGGAACAAGTGACAAAGTAAGAAATAAACAAGACAAAATAGATCATAAGACAGTCAGTTTATCTAAATAAAATAACTTCTATGTAGCAAATGTAAGGAGAACGTATCTCTAGAAAGGGGTTACCAATAACAGTTGGTAAATTTTTGAAACCCATAATATCAGTGTATTAGTATTGATACGAATTCTAATAAAAATGAATTACCGTTATCCGTTTGCGAGCTTCATCATGACTTATAGCATTTTCTTGTTCTATATTTCGTTCCATATTTTCTTGGATTAATTCCCGTTCATCATCTACATCTGATTGATTTAATTCAGGGTCACCAGTCCATTGGATAAATTCATCAGAATTTGTATCTTTTGCAGTAGTAGTTTTATGTTCAGATCTTAAAGGATTGCCAAGAAGCATCTTCAATTTACTTGATGGAGATAATTCGTTCCAAGGCCATTTATTACCATTATCATCTTGTTGTTCATCGTCGCCATCATCTTTATCACGATCTTGTCCAATTTCATGTAGTTCGGCTGCTTCAGCATCATATTCGTCGTCTAAATCTAAATCAACTAATTCATCGAGATCAGTTCCATTTTTACGACGATTATTATCACCACCAGTAATATCTTCCTCTTCGGCATTTGCTTCAAGACGCCGGCGTCTGATAGCCTAGAAAAAGAGATGAAAAATTATGTCTTTCAAATAGACTTTTATTTTTAAAAAAAATAAGATCCGGCGGGTGATCTCAATATGGTTTCGAGGAAAGAGACCGAGAGGGAGGGAGGTAGAAAGAGAGAGACAATATCTAGTATAGTTGATGACAAATTGATTCATGTTGTATATACATTATCATGCGTATTTATAGAAATTTGAAGATGTTCACGGTCATGGGTATCTGCAAAATCATTACAACAAGTTTTATTATTTACTACTACATTGGGCAAAAAATATAAGTATCGAAGAAGTCTCATTTATGAGTACGAGGTTACATGAGGGTAATAATTTGAATTTAGTTAATTCACTAACCAGGTACAGATCCGAGTAAATGGCTTCAAGTTTAGGGTAGTGAAAATACCCGGTTGTCTAAATCTAGGTTAAGTTGAGCGGCGATCAAGCCTAAGATCCAATGACAAAAAGCTGAATGCCTTAGCCAGTGAGACACCACTGCACTAAGAGGAACATTAGGATTTGTAAAATCTAATTCAATCATATCAAGTGGAGTGATAGAGATTAATATATCAGTGCTTATAGATAAGACACCACATACTGTGTGATGTGTTATAACAACTATCTCTCAGTAATTTAAGAGACAATTTATAAGGAAAGTATTTTAAATCAATGACTAGTTAACCGTAACTTTATAAATAACTTACCTATAAATATTAGAAATAAGCCACAAAAAATGAGAATATAAGTAGTCTTTTTAAATAGTGGTAAAATTTTGATTTAGGTTATTTCAGAATGAATAGAAACCAAAAAAACTAGTTTTCATTGAACTACTTTTCTCAATAGTAACTTCAATTACTTGTTTTACAAATTACTATCGTATTCATGTAGAACTAAATATGAACTTTTTTTTCAGAAAAACAGCACTTGACTGTTGATTTAATTTAACAGAAAAACCTTTTTTTCTGGAAAACTATGACTTATACACAAAAAAGATTTTGAGAATGTTTCATTCAACTTTCGAAACATGTTGACAGTGTAACAAAAGACTACTTATAATGTAAAACACATTTAACTGCGACTCAAACAAATAACACGAAGTGGTGAAGAATTTCCAGGGTAATTGAGAAGGGGATGGAATATTATTGGACATGAACATAAAAGGGCAACAGGATAGGTATAGAGGTCGGATTTGACAACGTATTAACTGAATATTTTATTCAAATTTTAACGGCAAAAATTCTTACTAGTAGGCCGTTTAATGTATTATTTTAATCTATAGTGTTCAATCGTATGCGACGTCGAATTTGCGACACTGGTGCATCAGTTTAATATCCCCACTAAATAACCATGATGAGATGAAATTAAGACAAATGACAAAGAAATAAGAGTAGTAACAGTGTTAGTAGAGTAGATTACACATAGACAGTATGATTAGATGAGGATGAATGGAATTCCGTAAGAAAAATGTATAAGGTTGTTAAAAAGTTTAAAAGTATTTCTAAAAAAAAAGAACATGAAGGCCTAGAAAACGGTTGTACACATTAAGAAATCAGCGTTGAATAGAAGCTTCTCAGAAACATATAAAAAGTGATGTCACGTGTAGCATCTCTGATTGGATATTAACGAATACTGCTAGTATATTTAGTACGATTCCGGAAAACCCATGGTTGTATGTAACTGAAAGTAACCTAGTTTTTCTGTACACAAACAAACCACGAAGAGAAGCGTTTCTTTGGTATTTCAAACTTTTGCTCTTGTGTTGCCGTGTAGATTAAACCTGGGGGTTATTAGACGCAGCTAAGAAGCCAGATTGTAAGTTCATTTAGCAGACTTATCAAAGATAATTTTAAAACCAGGATGTAATAGGGGACAAAGAGTGTAGGCATCAGTAGAAATCCGATTGATTCAGAGCCATATTACTCAACGTATCCAGCATTTCGGTACGATAATCCCACAGAATCATGATCTAAAATTACTTTCATCAGCAAGTTATACATTTTACAGCTTACTATTCATCTCTTTCACATAATGTTGTTTATTCGTATTTAGAAATTTCGTTTCCTTTATTATTTATACACGAACACACTTTTTACAGGATTTAAGCATAAGTTATGATGGAACAGTGAGAGATTCAGGATCTAATATAATTCAATTTCGATATGGAGACGATGGAGTGGATGTATGTCAAGCTGGGTTTTTACAACCTATTGGTTTGCATTTCTTCGCTGATAATGATAATTTGATTAAGACGATCTGCAACTAGCAACATGACTTTTTCCAATTGTCAATGACATCAGTCCACGTTATAGATGAATCATTAGTCGTAACTCTACATAATAACACAAAGTAAGAACAAACAGCCAATCAGATGATACGACAACATTAAGGAACAACGTTGACATAATCGTGTTTGCTTACTTTCATATTTACATACATGTTGGGGATGCTAGATCCTCAGAAATCACTGGGTAAACGTTTTATATTTGTAACTTTATTTTGCGATTTTGAATTTCTCATTTTCAAACCAAAAGCACCCATTTTCGTTCTCGGATTGTATCTCTCAGTTGAAAGGACTCTAGAGGTTATCAGTTGACTGCCTCTTTTAATATGCTGTTTTGCGACGTTTCCCATGGGCATTTTTGTACTGTATATATATGCTTGAATGGTGCGCTTGTCGTTGTTCGTACTTTTGGTCGCTTGTGGAATATACTTTCCCTCATCTGAACCTGGACATCCTCCTCTAGTTAGCAGGGTTGAGACGCATCGGAATAGTTTAGCTGACTTGTCGTTGTGTCAGCGCCTGAATTAACGATAGAGAGAAGTAATTGAACGCATTGTCCGTTTTAATTATCTTGGAAGTCCCATTAATCGTGAAAGGTTTGGTGTCTGACGAAATCACAACACTGATTCAGAAGGCTCGACTTGCTTTTGCCAACCTGCGTCATTTATGGTTTGGGCGAGATATTCGTCTTCCAACCAAAAGACGAGTGCAATGTGCAGCAGTTCGTTCCGTTCTATTTTACGGATGCGAAAAGTGTAGAGGATATGTGTGGGTCACCAGTATTCGACTATAGGTGTCTTCGACACATTACTCGTGTATTTCGGGACCACCGAGTAAGCAACTACTGGGTTGGAAATGGGGTACTAGATAAGGATGGCAAATCGATTGATGAGATAGTAAATCTTCATCAACTGAGGTGGTTAAGACCGATCTTACGTATGCCTTACCATCACCTACCTCGACAGGCGACGATGTCTAGTGTAGGAGTAGGCTGGGAGAATATCAGAGGTGGCCAAACCAAAACCTGGCATCAGTCCATGGAGTCATTACCAATTGGACTGGCGTATGTTAGTAAGTGTAAGCTACTTGGTTGGGGGAAGGAGTGATTATTATGACCAGTGAGTAGAGACTTTGAATAATATGACTTAAAATAATTTACAATAGCGAAGATGCATCTTGTAGGGGAGATCCAGAAACCTACTCAAAAAAAAAGCCAAAAAAGGGCTCTGGAAACGCTAAGAAACATCTTACTCAATCAGCATTCAATAGAAGTTTTGCCAGAAACATCTATAAAGTGATAAGTCACATGTCGCGTTTCTAGTTGGATGATTACCAATACTGCTACTATGTTTAGTAGCTTTCCAGAAATTTCCGGGAGCCCAAGGTCATCTAAAATACTATAAATATCCTAGTTTTTTGTATATAAACGAATCTTTGTAGTAAAGCGTTTCTTCCATATTTCGCTCCTTTTCTCTCATGTTCAAGTTGCTGTGTAGATTTGGCCTGGGGGTTACTAGAAGAGCTTAGGAAACGAGTCTAACGTTTAATTATAAGACTTATCACATCCATTCGCAGTCTTTCCTAGATTCCGCATAATTTTTTTAATTCACTAATTTATATTTCCATGAATCGTATCTCCGATGTCAGAACATAACAATTCTTACCAAGATTTGGATGGAGAAATTTTAACTACATCATAATGAAAAATCTAGATGTCCAATTAACTAGTCGTGTAGACAACAATGTTTAAATCATAAGAACGAAACTAGGCATACTGAAGATTCCGTAAATACAAACCTACCTCATGTCCATCATCTTCATTCCATTCGTCTTGTGCACGAGTACGACCAATACCTGGTTGATTTACAATATCAGCATCCTCAGCTGGTTCTTCTGAGTTTTTATTTTGACCAGCTTGTTGTTGACGAGCCATAGCAGATAAGGCAAAGCTTTTTATAAGACTGAAATAAATTAACAGAAGGTATAAAATCCATATCTAAACTATCGAAAGGGAACATGAACAATAATAATGAAGGTGCCTGGGTTAAATGTATGGTTCGCTCAATCAGCACCTAATAGAAACCTCATAGAAACTATCAGGAAATCAACATATCATAAGTCCCTCTCTGATTATATGACTATCTAATTTGTTACTAAATTTGGCATTAATTCTAGAGCTTTTAGAGTGTTGGAGTTACACGTAAACCTAAAAACATTCTTATTTTATGTGTATGTACTAAGCTTGAAGTATAGCCTGTCCTTACTTAGCACCTTTTATCTGTCGTCTAAGGTTAAGGTTTAGAACACTGCGGATCTAGGAAGCAGCTAAGAAGTTATTATCAACTTTTAGAGTAGGAAAATTATCACTAAAACAGGTGGTTGAATCATACGCATCTTTTATGAGTGACTAATAATAACAGTTATGGTAAAAGATATTGTTTTGTATGCGTATTATGATCTGTTAAGCGTTTATCTTTATAGTGTAAACGAATAGTCCTAATCAAGGGTAACAACCATAATCAACGTAGTTTGCACAAAAATATCATTTAGGCTTCGTTCGTTTAGTTGGATTTGATCCCGTTTGTTGTAGAATCATAATTTCCTAGTAGTTAAACAAGATTGCATTGTATTACGAAGGTTGGAATTCTATTATCAAAAGTACCGCAACGAATCGTTATTAGTGTACTATTGTATACTTCTACTTCATTGATGAGATTATTGTTGGTATTGCAAATTGTTCATTGAATAAAGGAAATAATAAATAATTATAGTCATAAGCGTAGTTTATTATACACTTTGGGCAAAATTATATTTTACATAGTCTTCTAAAATTATATACACTTGGTTTAAATACAAACATTGTCTGGTTAATTTGACACCTCATATCCAGTAAAAGTGATCAATGGATGTTTTCCATGGAGAATTATCCACTTTCTATTTTAATATAAGAGTATAAATATAAAAAGACTTTCATAATTGTAAAGATATCGAAAAAGGTAAACAAATATAAGTGGCAAAGATTAAAAACACTGGTACATTAAGTAGTTCATTCATATCTCTACATTTTAAAAATGTCACATTGAGAGGAATTCCAAAAGAAGAAGACAAAATAGCAACTGAATTATAAATAAGTTGAGTAGTGAAGAGGAAATAAAAAAACAAAAAAAATGATAATATACTCGGTATGTGCACGAAAATAAAAAGCTGAATATTTCAAAAACTGTACAACTGATTTTCAGCTATATTGTCTATCGTCATAAATCGACATTAATGTTGAAGAATAGTTGAAACAAGAAAACTAAGGCTGCTTGGACAACTTAAATCTACATTCAAGGATAGCAAAGGCTTTTATTATGATTCCAATTAAAGATATCTTATATCTCATATCGAAGGATACATATGTAGCTCATTTAGAGAAATAAAATCTAATATCATTAAATAAAACAAACATTTTCATAATCTAATTTATTTGGTTATATGCTGTTAAACATAGACACAATTAACCAAACACCAAGTATTAAATAATCAGGAAATTCAAGTTATCTAAGTGCGAATAATAGAAATTTATCCGATTCATCATAACGATCCGATTATTATAATACATATTTATCCAATAACAAGTGTATTTTTTTTAAAAAAAAATAAAGGCAAAGACAACTAAAAGATAACCAAGAAAGAGATTTGCTTTTTAGGGATATGACAAAGCTTCAATTAAAGATTCATTGAAGTACTCCACACACACACACACGTACATATTGAATTAACATATATTTAAAGGACATAATCAATTATCTCAAAAGTAGCAAATGGAGTAAAATCTGGTTTGAATTATTCACAACTAAATAAAAACAATTGGATAGTTTTGTTTCTTATCCCCTTTATGTATAACTGTAGATATGTTAAATTATATTTCGTGTATAATTAAACGATAAATAAGCTATTTATGAGAAAGTTATGCAGAGTCAAAGTCTATTTTATATATGTTGTTACAATTTAAAACGATTCCGTACCATCTGTCAACAATAAAGGTTAATTTCGTTGGAATCAACCTGTTATAATGATATACAACCCTACTTTTAAGTCTATGAGAAAAAAAATGTAAATTTAAACAGACTACTACTTATGAGAGAAAATGATTAGGTTTGAATTTTTCAGTGTTTAAAATGATAATCATAGGCGAAAAAGAGTTCTTCCTTAGTGAACAAGTAACAAGCTGGTGAAATATATGAAAAAATAAATAACAATTAAATATTGAAAAGAAAAAAGAATAACACCCATATACCTAGTTTTTCCTTGATCTTTTAATTCTTCATTTAAACGATGAGCTAAATCTGGGAATAGAATACGTTCAAGAAAACGTAAAACACGAACAGGTGTTACATGACTTTGATCAGAATAGACTGATTTCGGTTGTAAATTAAATTCAAATGTACACGAATCAGATACATAGTTCACTTTTTGACCAATAGGCAATTGTAAAGTCTGCAATACAAACATAACATACATGTATATAAGGCAGTTATATATATATATATATTACACTGAAAAAATTTATTTGAATCACCTCAGATAATTTCAGTTTATAAAACTTCTTAGCTATTTGTTCACTAAGTTGTTGAGCTTCTTTTGTGGGCCATATAGGAACTTCCATGCATGGTGTACTTATATTGGATGATCCGGACATGAGAATCTCTCGTAGGCGTGGTATTCCCAAAGTTACATTCATTTCACCACGTCCAGCAAAATGAAAAGTATTTAATGTCATCTGAGTAGAAGGTTCACCAACTGATTGTGCAGCCAATATACCTACAGGATCACCAGGTGGAGCTTGAGCGTTAATAATTTTGGCTAAACATAAATCTCTTAATTCAGCCGCTGCGGCACATGGTGGTTCAGGGATTATTTCATTCATTATCTTATCTTTTCCGGATACTTGCTGTTCCGTTTCCATTATTTTTAGTGCTTTATGAGCCATCTTACTAATGTTGAAAAGTTTGGCAAGTTTATGCCTTGATACAGTTTTATGTAGAATCTAAAATGATAAACAAGTTGAAATCAGATTAGATTCCATTGAAAAAACCACGTAGGGTAATTACTGATATTAAGTTAGATCATAGACAAAACAACATAAAAGCAAATACACATACACATGAATTATTAAGAAAAGTTTAAATGATCTAGAAGTGAAAATTAAAGTCAAGATGACCGATTACAAGTAAATTAACCACTTATAATACATAAAGTAACTTAATACGATAGTACACAGTTTTGAAGGCTAACATTATAACATGAAAATAAAGTAATCAATGTAATGTGACTGCAAAAACAAACTGGAACAACCTTAAAACAAACATGAGTGATTGGTTCTTTCTCAACTTGTACAGTCATAAAAGAAGTGTTCATTGTTACTGGTGCTGAATCAACATAAAGTACACAGCATGAATCAACAATAACGTTGAAAACGATCCGTTTTACTGTTCATTAGAGATTGAGTATCCTTTTTTCTTATTGTTATCTATTAGAAACAAGAACTGATAAGTGAATAAAACACTAAAATTACAATTTTCGATTGTATATTACATTAGATTAGAATGGGTGCACAATTCCTTTGTCGGTAAATGTTACACACTTACAAAATATCCATACGGCATTATTATTTTGAGAACTTTAGCACTGGTATCTAATGGTTCCCTATTAATCGTATTATAAAAGTATCGACAATATTTTTGTTATAATTTTTAAGCTATTCTAAGTTTAAACAATTTGCCTCCACAATTCTATAGAATAGATTTTATAATTTAACGAACAAACATTTAAGAATTTGATGGTTAAATTAATGGACACAATATTAATTGATTAGTCGACAATGGGCGATGATACAATTTGGATAAATGATGGCAATTCATCAGACCGAATTATTAGTATAAGGCCTCCAATTACACTGATATAAGACCAAACTAATAGATACAATATGATTTTCTTATAACAAAATAACATGTTTACATAGATGATAATAAGAAAATAAACATGATTAAATATTACAAACGGCTGGATGACAAAAATTGTCCGGACCGCTTAGTCTCCAATGAACTGAGATCTCGTTTGTCATTTCAGAACCAGGAATCTTTTTCATTACACAATTGAACGGAAAAAGCAGTTATATTAACAACTATTATATGGTAATGAAAAACAAGTTATTCACTTTGTCAATGAAATAATACATACCTACATTTCTTAATTAGGCAATTATTATTTTGTGTTAGCTACTATTATCTAAGAGTTAGTAATCATAATAGAATAGATTATCACAAATGGATCCACATAAACATCGACAATACACTTAATAATTTACGTATAAGCTTATATTAAAAACACCATTCAAAACTATGTACCGTGAGTAAAATGCCCCCCGAAAGCCCTGGTACGGCCGAGAGTGGGGGGGCTCGCCCTCTCTCTTGAAATGCTCTCACACGGCCACGCGTAAACAGCCTCTGCTAGGGAAGTCCTACTCACTGCCTTCTTGTGGCGAGGGTGTTGTATACAAAATCGAGAGGACAAAAAAAACGAGTGTCTGGCGCTTTAACCGGGTCAGTGGATACGGAGCATCCACCTAGTGGAGTTGGAAAACCGTGGTTACAAACCAATGGTGCACATGGGCTCCAGTATCCTGAGGGAACAAATGGCGTATGAATCAATCGTTGGTCACCGGCTACCATGGGAATGCATCTTCTCATGATGCTCCACTGCCTTGTGGACCAGACCTTTAGGTCGAAGGCTCCGGGTGTAGGCCCCTAAGAAAACCATCTGCTTTGGTTTAGGCACCTGGGTAGTATCATAGCCCTCACACAAATCAAATGAGATTTGTGTAGCGCATATGTATCTGGTGCCTCCTTGTACAATATTTATGTGATTAAATAAATAATGAGTAAAATAAGACAATGTCAAATGAATAAGTTTTCTATGAGAAAGAAATGAGTAGGTTTCATTATCATCTGAATAACAATTGATGCCATAAGTCAGAAAAATCAACAAAATATATTATCGCATTTTGAAAGTCGAATGCACAAATTTACAGAAAAAAATTCATAAGAATACTATTGAATTATATTTTAAACTTACACCTTGTCTCTTAACACCAACTTGATCTGCCATCATTTGTATAGGTTTAGGAAGTATGTTTTTTTCAAATAAATGAGCATATGCTGGATTATCGGTGTTGATTTTATCGGAATGCCAACGCATTTTCATTAGATTTATATTATCAGCGAAGAAATGCAAACCAATAGGTTGTAAAAACCCAGCTTGACATACATCCACTCCATCGTCTCCATATCGAAATTGAATTATATTAGATCCTGAATCTCTCACTGTTCCATCATAACTTATGCTTAAATCCTGTAAAAAGTGTGTTCGTGTATAAATAATAAAGGAAACGAAATTTCTAAATACGAATAAACAACATTATGTGAAAGAGATGAATAGTAAGCTGTAAAATGTATAACTTGCTGATGAAAGTAATCTTAGATCATGATTCTGTGGGATTATCGTACCGAAATGCTGGATACGTTGAGTGACATGGCTCTGAATCATTCGGAGTGCCATAGATTCATCTAATAATCGCCTTTCATTAGATTTTGTGCTTCTTTATTATGGGAGTCCATTCATCCGCATCGAATCACATTGTCTATGTGTAATCTTTTTACTACCACTAACACTGTTATTACTTTTACTTCTTTGTCATTTATCTTTACAATTTCATCTCATAGTGGTGATTTAGTAACCACCTGTAGCTCTTCTAGAGTTACTAGCAGTACCAAACCCCGGTAAACGAGGAGGCTTGAGGAAGGTGGTCAGCAACCCCCTTGCATAGAAAGCAACTTTGGCCATCCTGATGGGAGACCTGAACGTCAAGGTCGAAATGGACAGCAACAAGTATGAAGATATCATGGGACTACATAAACTGACTGGGAGAAACGAACAGGAATGGCGACAGATTAGCACGTATATATGCATTCAACAAAATGGTTATAGGTAGCACAATATTCCTCCATTGACGCATAAAAAAGCGACATGAAAATCACCGGATCACACTACAGAGAACCAGATAGATCATATATACATCAGTAAAAGATTCAGGTCTTTGGAAAACGTGAGAACCAGGACAGGAGCTGATGTAGCTTCAGATCACCACCTGGTGGTTGCCAATATGAGACTAAAACTAAAGAAGCACTGGACAACTGGAGGAACCGTTATATCCTTAGGCTCATCAATTATCCCGTAACAAAATCGCTAATCAAAATACCAACTTCTATAACTTTGTCCCTGTGCTAAACCAACGATGCGTCAACCAGAACTATCAGTCTTGATTCAACTGTGATTTCTTATTCGTCCTCTGTATAGTAACCTTTCACCTACGTATCACGAAAAAGAAGCTAAGTTTGAGGAACTGTTAGATATTAATCAATGCTGGATAACAGGAACTAGCATACAGAATTTCACAGATTTCGTAAGATTACCTTAAATAAGCAAAGTGATGAGTTATTGTAGTCAACATAGAAAACTAACCTCGAGATGTTTAATAGCTGATCTCTGTAAGTAACCTGATCGACTAGTTTTTACAGCTGTATCAACAAGACCATCTCTACCTGCCATCGAGTGGAAAAACAACTCTTGTGCAGGTAGCGAAGTGAGAAATCGAGCAGTACACATACCACCAGCACGTGGACGAACATCGTAAGGTGGAAATGAGGGCAGTGTTTTGCCACTTAGCATTAGTGGGACACGACGACCTTCTAATTCAATCTGACCAAGAGCGACAGACATTTGTTGAGCGTTAACCTTTGAAATAAATGGATAAAATTAAAGAGAAACTTTAGAGAACATAGTAAGCTGAAAAAACTATCTAGAGTGGTCTGGCATAGTACAACTAAGAGAAAGAAGCGTACAAATAACAAAAATATTCAAACAGATATCGATCATCAATAATATCAGAACAGTAAAATTAGAAATTAATTTAGTCATAGAATGAGCTCGAAGCATAAACAAAATCTGCCGTAACTAATTTACAAAAGTTAAATTTCAAAAATCATTCATTATTATGAACAATAATTTGTAGCGAAAGAAAATTGTAGCACTTAAGTACCATAATATGGTCAACAAAATTTTCAGAACATTATGGAGCACCATCGAAATTTTTTCAAAATTTCACCAAATTGTAGTCATTTAACATTACTACTATCTATTTAAAAGTAGTCTGAGTATTTTTCGTAAATTTTACTCGACTGTTGATTATTATGAAAGGTAAATTGCGAATATTGGCATTTGTAAATGTTTTGAGATATCTTTAGCCTAATATGTATACTTTCTGTATAAAAACTTCATACTTGATGATTGCCTTTTTTAACCAATATAAAATCCATGAAGACAATTTACTCACTATTTACTAGCTTTCTTTTACAACGTATTGGGAAACTAACTGGGTATTTATGGCATGGAATAAAAATTTAAACGCTTGCTTACCATACCACCCTTAGCACCGACATGAACCATGAGTTGTAAGTTGTTCTCTGGAAAACCAACATATAAGCCTCCTGGAATCGCAGAGTCACAGACTGCATCTTGAGCCCTTTTTAGTCGATCTTTAATTGCCATGTCCAACTGAGCAAGACGCTTTAGAGAAGACTGGTCAGTTGATGAAGGGAATTGTGCTTGACGATACAAACGCTTCACATTATATTCGGTTAGTTCGTCTGGTTTTAAACTGAATGTGTCTGCAAAAGCACAAAGGCCAAGATCTTTAAGATTACTGAAACGACGTTGTCTTTCTTCATCTGCTCTATGTGAAAGCAAAATATCTTTCAAACCCATTGTGAAGGCAATGAATTTTAAAAACCTATTGGCTAGTAAACTAATCCCATTTAACAAACACGAAGCAGATTCAGGACCATATGCTTCATATACACAATGTATCAAACCTGTACTGCTTGAACCGATATGTGATTTGTCTAACATGCCAGATGCAAGATAACCATCACATATAACTAAATCTACATCGGATAATGGTGTTGGTCCACCGGGAGCAACTCCAGACCAAAGTTCAGCTTTAGTTCGTCGACCTATAAGGGTAGCATTTAGTGGTAATAAACCTGTAGGTGTGAGATTTATTAACAATGTTGAAATAACCTGAAAAAGGGAACAAAAGATAGAAATATTAAATAAAATCATTTGAACATAATGATAGTGTTTTTATCTTATCAAGTATGATGAGATCCCCTCTTGGTCCCATGTTCTTTCCGATTACATAATCACTGAGTGATGTCAGTGAGTTGGCTATTATTTCTTACTAAATGAAGCAACATATTCATACTCTCTCAAAGCATACACTGATCAAGTCGATCTCATCTTTGCTATTATTAGACGAGCAGATGTGCTTGTTCAATAATATTTGATGCTCGTGGCATCATATCCAAAACGACAAAAAAAGTTAACAAATATCTGTTACTGACTATGTCGGAATAAAAATTCTTCATATACATGCTTGACTGTTTGATTAATTAACTATGATAATGTTGTGGTTGGTAGGAGAGTTCGAGCATATAGAAAGTATTGACTAGACAACGAGAACTTTGAGAATTAATTCAAATACAATAAATAACCAAGATACACATTTGCTTCTTCTTGCAGTGAAGACTTATTGGCTCAACAAAAGATGAGATCCAAAGTTCAAAAAATAACATGAATGGTTTAAATGATGACGAAATAGGGGGGAATCAATAAAAAAGCGCTAAAACCATTATATAAATCAAAGTACCCTCATTTAAATACCTGTTTTCCTGTCCAAAGACATTTTGGCCAACAAATTGCAGGTTTAATTGTGATAATAGATGGTGGGCCCGAAGATGTTTGACTGTTTATAGCAAATAAAGGTCGAAGAGCATGATATACAAGATCCAAATAATCAGCATGCTCGAAAAACCGATCACGCATTGTTAATTTAACTGCTGCTATAACATGATCCTGTATAAGCCCAGCAAGTGGTGTTCCATCTTTAGGTACTAAATATTGATGTGGAACAGAAGCTAAACACAAATTCAATGAAAAATAATACACGAAACGATGAGCAAAAATAAACAAATATCAGTAGGAAACGCTATCTGAAAAGATATAACATGATAGAAAAAATTATTACAGATTATGGAAGAAACAAGTTTTGGCAGTGGACATGAATAACGAGTGAATTTATTTTAAAATTTGGAGTTACTAGATAGTTGGTAATAATAAATGATGTGGAAAAGTTCATTGACACTAGTATACTAGTTTATAAATGAGGATTCAATTAAAATATTGATCCTCAACTTTTCGAGCCTAAACTGAAACACAACTGATGACTTTTGAAAAGAAAAGGAAACATACGAAACTAATGTTTCTGAATGTAAGTAAGCGATGGTCTATGTAGTCAAATAATTTAACATAAACTAAGCAACTGCATAACGAAAAATTATTGTATTACGAGATTTATGTAGCTAACTTATATCGCATCAGGGATCAATAAATTTATTATCATAAATCAAAAACCATTAAATTATAACTAATACCGTAACCAAGTCACACTGGTCAAATGTGGTATATATGAGTCCCAGTTTTCTCAAAATTGACCAGTCTTTATTAGCATAAGTGAATCCTGAGGGGATTGCCTTAATACTGTCTTTTAAACATAGGTTTTAGTTAAGTTGAGGCGTGGCTAGTAGTGAAATCTAGGATGCGCGTCCGTCCTATTTGTGACTCATCAACCGAATATTTAGTCCCGGTGTGAACATCAACACTGGGTTACAAGTACATCCAACTGATGAAACGCGCGTTCTAGATTACACTGCCAGCCACAATCCAACTTTATTAAAACGTGATTAAATATGAGTTATAATTGATAGTATTGCAGATTAGATCAAAACAAAGTGATTAGTTTACCTAATGTTTCAAGTTCAGCTTTTGCTGCATAACTTTGAACAAAATGGCCGTTCATTTCATCCCCATCGAAATCTGCATTGTAAGCTTTACAATTTGAATAATGTAATCGGAGGGTTTTTGCTCCAACACACTTTATTATTCGAACACGATGTGCTTGCATTGAAGGCCGATGAAGGGTAGGTTGTCTGTTCATAATAAGCATATCACCATCAAGTAGATGACGATTAACCTGGGAAGAATTGAAGTAAAATGGAGAAAATGTAATGCAAATTGTATTGTATACTACTGGATGAAAACAGTGGAATATTTTTTTAGAAAAAAAAACGTTACTTACAACGATAGGTATGTTATCTTTACCCGATATAAGTGGTTTTAACCGTAAAGCTAACATTTCACGTTTCTTTTTAGCCTGGGGAGTATCATTCTGTGGCAGCATAGTAATGACACCATTTGAAAATTGAATACTTGTAGCCCCTGGATAGTTATTTGGTCCATTCATTACTAATTGACGTAAATGAACCAAATTGAATTTTGTTACTGGTGTTGGGAATGTTAAACGGAATGCGAAAAATAACGGTACTCCAACCTAAATATTGATGAGGAAACAGTTAATTAGTTAACAAAATGTATTAAAGTATCTCAATGTATAATATGAAGTCTATAATGAGTAGGTAATTTACAAGCGTATACAGCTGAATATTATGGACAATGATAGACATAAAATCAAAAATATCGTTTATTCTCTCATTTCTATCTCTTTTGTATTTGCAACAAATATTATTATACTACACTATTACACCATAGCTTAGAGAGAGCAATAACCAATGATTAGCAAAAAAGCTTGAAGTACATAACACCATCCATTAGGCACTATATTCAATCCAAACAAGTTTACTCATACCGAGATTGTACGTCTTGGATTGTAATTATTCCACCAAAATCAAATACGGATTACATTATTTAATTTGAAAAAGACTTTCTGAGTAGAGAGGAATTATGCATTATTTTATTTCATAATATCAAATACTCAAAGTCACGGAGGTGGAATTCAGCCTTACCTACTTTGCTTTGAGCGGTAGCTCTCAAATAAAACTTATGGTTCAAAACTGAGTACGCAAACTTGCACTTGGTTACCAAGCCGCATTACATAGATCATTGTAAAATTTAGTTACATAAATCCCGGAAATAAAGAAAAGACATACAATGCGTGTGGTATTAAAACCTCTGTGAAGTAAAGCAGAGGTCTAATTACTGTATAAATACCAACTAGGTCGGTAATAAGCATGGTAGAAAGCACAGACGTTTTGAATATGCAACAATATTGAAAATGTGTTATAACTCTACACAAATCAATTAAATCGTCATAAACAATGAGAAGTATGACTGGGATTTAACAAAAGGAGAATGTGGAAACATAAAATCGAATATCATATACTTATTTAAACACAAACGTTAGTACAAGGAGGCACCAAATATATATGCACCACGTAAATCATTCATTTTGTGTGAGGGCTGAAATACTGCTCGGGCGCCCAAACCGAAGCAGGTGGTTTTCTTAGGGAGCCGTTCGCCGAGTGTACAATTGACTGTAACTACACTGCCTTAAAATCATTGTTCGATATATTAAACAAAACCAAATCAAATGAAATATATATGCTTGTACATGTTTATATGTGTTGGTGGAGAAGGTAAAGTATACATAAGCTACCTAGGATCACCCATATTCTTCAGCAAAAAGAGAAGTGAATACTGAAGGAGATGACTTGAAATATGAAAACCTAAAGAAATGGGAAAACTATACATATACACCCTAACGAACCAATGTTGATACAACTTCGTAGACTATCTCAGGTTAAATATTAGGATTTGACTTATATTTATGGTATGATTTGTTATTATTTGAACATAAATATTGGTAAAAGGAGGGCACTGAATATATAAGCGCAGCACAAAGAATTGCCATTTCATTTAATTGTGTGAAGGCTACGATACCGCCCGGATGCCCAGACCGGAACAGGTGGTCTTCTTAGGGGGCTACACCCGGAGCCTTTGACCTAAAGGTCTAATCCACAAGGCAGTGGAACATCGTGGGGAGATGCAGTCCCATGGTAGCCAGTGACCGATAACAGGTTCATACGCTATTTGTTTCCCTAAGATCCTGTAGCCCATGGGCACCATTGGTTTGGAATCACGGTTTTCCAACTCCACTAGGTGGATGCTCCGTATCCACTGACCCGGTTAAAGCGCCGGACATTCGCCTTTCGTCCTCCCAATTTCGTAAACAACACGCCCGCCACAAGAAGGCAGTGAGTAGGAAGGCTGGAAATACTATCCAGTGACCTAAACTGAAGTAGGTAGAGCGCGATTCGAACCTATCGTCCAATAACTGAAAGTAAAGTGCTTAAATCACTAAGTCACAGAGTCGAAGGACTTGACCGTACTGGAGAATAAATCATTTCAATAAACGATAACAGAAATATCAAAGAGTCATGACAAAACTCCCCAAGATTTCAATAAAGGTCAGTAGTAAGTAAAACATAAGTAATACTAAGATATACGAGATTAGAGTGGGAATGATATTATTCATATTTGCTATTTCGGTTAAATGTGAACTAACACAGAGATTATTTCTGATAGGATAATATGATGACTGGGATTGCTGAGTTATTTAATATAAGAGTACTACTCTTAAAATTACCATTTTGTGGATATTGAACAACAACGTACTTCTGACTAGTGGGTGAAATGAAGTTAAGAGAATAATTTTCAAAATAATTGTCCTAAAAATTTGTTGGATGTAAAGAAAAAGGATCATACTAGCTGATAACTTTCTACGAGATAGCATTTTTTAAAACGTTCTAAGATATACTGAGACTGATAAAAGACCGGAAATAAAGAAGATTGTATAATGTAAGAGTATTTGGAAATATAAGGAAGGTTAACGCTACCTTGTATTACTAGTAAGTGACTCGTAATCATATTTCAATAAAGGATTCGTGGTTCACATGAGGTACTGGTAACTAAGGGTCCAAATAATAGTTCATGAAATGAATTTAGATGAGATAAAAAACTTACTTCAGTAACACTAAGATTTGGATCCGGACTAATAACAGAACGGCATGCGAAATTAACACGTTTTCCCATCATGTGCATACGGAAGAGACCTTCTTTTCTTTCTAAACGTTGTCTTAGCCCGGGTAGTCGAACTGAGTTACTACTGATCCCATTTCTGGACTCTAATCCTAGAGGTGTGATTGCCATATTCATATCGTATATTCCATTAACAGCTGCTTGGAGAAGCACAGTTGCAAGTTTAAGAGCACCATCTGATTGTGCATCATCGATCAAATCGCCATTACTAGTTGTGGACTTTGGTTCTACAGATTTATTCACATCAACAGAATTGCTCACTTCATTATGTTGACGGATAAACTCCACGATATTGTGTAGACATTGGGCTCGCTTTACAATACGGACATAAACAGCAGTTTCCGGATGCTCATAAACCAAATTCCCAACATGCCGTGGCTAAAAGTGAAATTAGTATACTTTGCTTCATCGAATCAAATGCAATACAAAGACAATAACCGAGATTCCATCTAATATTTAGAGTGAAAAATTAACTTTATTACTATCACACAGAGAAGTACCTACCGGCTTTTTAAAATTCGGCCTGTGACTTGAAATTTAGGTTTGAGTGAGTACAAAGTATGCCACTACTAAAGTTTACAGGGATCTCCCAATGTTATGGAATACCCAAATCAAATAATAGGACACGATTCTTTAATTTTCAGTATAGTGTGGTGAAGATTGTTGAATTTTATTAAAATCATAAAACAATCTAATTTAGACCACCATTGAAAACCTGGAAGCACTGGACGGCCATTTTGTCGGAGTATATGAATGTGATCTACGATTTTGCACGTGGGAATCGAGCCCAGGACCTTCGATTTTGCGAGCGAACGCTTAACCTCTAAACCACTGAGTTAGTATCCAACAGCGTTATTGTCTAGACTTAATTAGTCCACGACGTTACGCGACCATTCTCCACAGTCTTTTTCAATGTTTGAACAGAACAATAAATATATAATTAGCTAGGAAGATTAGACCTTCAACTATAATACTACGTGTTCTAACAAATAAATACATTATGGTGGAAATTTGTCTTCGGCTTTTTAAGTTTTAGATGAGTTGAGGGGCAGAAAAGAGATAGTTCTATTAACAAATATTTACAAATCTACTTAAAAACAGAGAACGGACATTATGCTACATCGGAGAATCAACACTCAAGATAAACTTCTTACCCAACGACAAAGAGAAGGAGACAACAGAACGTTATCCATAAAAAATACGTCAGTAGGAAACGTGTGGTTTAATCGCGCGGCTCGAAGCATAGGAAATAACAGTACTAAAAGATCCCCGTCATGGGCCCAGAGACACCTCAGCATTACACGGATCATCTCTTAAATAATAAAAAACGTCGAAATGTTATTAAGTACATTTGAACTATGAGTGAACAACAAAACAATTATGCACATGAATATCAAAGCTTACATACTGAAGGACACTTACATCCATAATAAAAAAGATCAGTGCATCCATAGGAAAATTATAACTGGGAAGGGAAGGTTCAGCATGATAAAATGGTGAAATTGAGATTGTAAGCAGGAGGATCATAGAAACAGAAGCAAAACAGTTAGGGGAAAATTGCTATGGTTAAGATAAGGGGGGAGAAGATGGCTTTGAAGGAAGAAAGGTATGAAGAAAAGAAAGATATGAGAGACTAAGACCGTAGTAGGAGAGGTTGCAATAGTTTCTTATGGACACATAATTTTGGTTTATCCAGATGTATAACTAGTGTTCCGGTAAGATCGGCAGGACAATCTTTCGGTCATATATGGGGAAATTCGAATACCTCAGTTCCGCTTGAGGTTTATCCTGATGTCGTTTAGAAGAACAATAGAAGCTTCCCAATTAAAGCATTCAGCTCGGAGAACGAAACCATCGAAATAATAATTTACATTTTGGGAAGTTTTTACTGATTTCCTAAAATACCAACTATCTGCAAAAGATTCCCTTTTCTTTCCTTTTTCGTTCTTTAGAAACAGTACAGTGTACATTAAAAAACAAAAAATAGGCAATATCTTATAGTTGTATTTGACTGCTAGGTTGTTATAAATGTTATCATATAACTCTGCAATAATATTTTATGAAGTATTCATATTGGTTTTTTGTATCTTGCTGCTTTATTGTTTTAAATATATAACAATTATTTTAGAATTAATTTTTACATACCAGGTGGGAAACATATTTCTTTGGAGTGTTGTTGACTTTTTATAGCTTCAGACAGCATATTCCGAGCAGTGGATAAGTTTGCCGTGTAAACAGCTTCTGCTTTGCTAGCTTCACTTTCATCAGACATGTCGATAAACAAAGACAACTTTTGTTCCATGCGCTGGTCATCTACTTTGCAACCCTCAAGAAGGTCACTACAATCTTCTTCTAATTCCCTACAGAAAGAGGTCAAAGCAATAATAACGTTGAGGTATTATGAAAAGTCTCTCTGGCAATGAGGACATCTCAAACACTGCTGTCCTCAAGCAAATCAATGCAAATTAATTAGTAAATATTTCTACATTCAAAAACGACGCGTAAATGTATACATTTAAAATCAAAGTACATTAAAAGACTTTTTTGCCTTCTGAATGATACTAAACAAATAATTAACCAAATATTTGCACACACATAACTAAGTGTAACGAAACGCATATATAATAAACCATTTGGAAACAGGAAACTACTGGACCAATGAGTTAACGAGCAAAAACGTACTAAAACAATAAACTCAGAGTAATTATAATAAACTAATGAATGAAATCTGTGCTCGGGATCCTGTTAGTGTTACGATAATGAGTATCCGACTCAAGGCCATTCTCTTGAAGTAAATTAATATGTTTCGTTAACAACATATTAATTATTTATCCATAATAAAAGATCCATCAACACGCCTTATATCTTCCGTACTAGTTATAAACCTAGTGCGGTCATTTGAACACAATTTAAAACTGACTGACCATTAGAACTAACGAATGAACGTGACACACTCCGATTTTGTTAGTACAAACAGCAATACTGTGATGACAACTTTATACATTTATATAGTTACACCAATTGATAGCTTAGTAGTAAATGATTCTGTATTGTCTGGTCCGTAGTGTTAATTAAATTCTATAGAACAGGTATCCAGTATGTGAGAGGCGAAATAGTGAGGTCTAATTACTTGAACGCTCGACTGAGGTTGTACCTGTGACTGCATCGGCAACTTCCCCCAGACAGCAGCAAGGGATTCGGTGACGGTAAGACAACTTTCCTGAAAATGACAGACGTAAGCTAAGCTGACCTATTGCTTCAGGTATTCAAACAAACTAGACTATGAATGAATACCAATTATACTGACGAAGTGGATTTTTAGAAAACACAATTCCTCTAGCGCTACAGTGTACTAGACTCAATTAGTACACTGTTAGTTTATTTCTAGGTGGAAATGAGAGAAACATACATCTTGTTTCCATTGTTTCTGTATTATATGTTGGGACGAGAGAATTTCTGAAAGAACGATGTTTTAACAAAACTCGTCACTCGGTCGATGAATGTTTGAACCTGGATAGAAAGAGAGAGTGAGAAAATACACTATTGTTTAATCTGTAAAGCTTCTTGGGTTGCGATCAGAAATCCCCTATTTTTATATGCACCATATTAAACCCCCAGTATTTTGTTTCTTACCTTTTGGCGAATTCGAAAACTGTATTATAAAAAAACTAGCAACTGGATTTAGTTGGTTAATATTTTAGAGCGACTGTTCAGTCAAGTTTTGATTAGAATAACAAAACAGGGAGAAACAGACATATGGCCTGCTAAAAACATGTCATTTTGAGTTGCTCCAACTGACTTTAATGCAGCGGAAGGGTGTTAACATGAATGAAAATTAAAGAACTGAAGATAACTATGATAGTGGTGAGTCGGATATGCAGAATATGATTCAGAAACCGATGAAACTGATTAGTAAAAAGTAAAAAAAACTGCACTAATTCAGCTTATTTTGAGTCACATTACTCTAGTTTTCTTTCAAATGACTATAATTAAAGCATATAACAGAGCCAAACCTAGATGTCAATTATCGTACGAATCAACTTGCACATTTCAGAAGCCGTGTTATTCTAGATGTAATCATCGATGAAATCTCCGCAAGAATGAGTACTGCCGGTCCAGTATTTGCCAATGTCTACTTTTTTTCTGGTACCCACAATACACCCAAGAGACTCAAAAGGAAAATATACTGCAACACGTTTTGCTTTAAGCAAACCCACACTTGTGACAACTTCTGGAAAGGAAGATGCGAAAACAATAAGTATTTAATGGTAGACATAATCGCAGTAATACTACCGTAGTATAGGACCACAAAGTGAAGGACTGATCGTTTTTTGAGTTCTACGCTACGGTAATATCTGAGTCACAAGGGGGAACCAAATAAATATGCGCCACATAAAGCATTCGATTTCTGTTAGAGTTGGGACACTGCCCGGGTGCCCAAACTTAAGCAGGTATCTGGGTCAACGGGGTTATGAACCTATATTGATTGATACATTTTTGTGTTGAACATCATTAATCACCACCTAACTTGATGAGATGCTGTTCAAGGTAGGATTGGGTTTGGAGAAGCTACATGTAACGATACCAGAGTGGTTCATAAGTTCAACAACATTTGATGTAAATCATCTGGATGAAATTGTAATCAGGCAGGATCGTCGGAATGATGAGAATTAGACCCTGTATGGAAAAGCCCAGAATCGATTGTGAAGGGGTCAGATGTACTGTCTTTATGAGCTTAAACATTCTGGTATCCAACATACACTCTCGTCTTTTGACTCAAATACTTACTGTTTATGAAGCGAAGTGTTTACTTGGACCCATAGTTTTTTAGTGTTCAACATCGATGCATTCATATTGAGTCTAATAACTATTATTTTCAGCAACCTTAAAGGTTGCTGGACATTTTCAAGAAATGCAAACTACAACTTACTCTTTCATTTTTGCCTTCGAACGGTTACTGCCAACAATCGATATTGGGTGGAAAACTAACTGTTGTTTACTAATGTGTCTTAGACCCCAAGACCCGCTACCGCACAACTTGCAGGGAGCACGGGGTCTTGTGGCTAAGTTTCTAATCGCCACTTGACGCAAATCATCGCCTGATAACCCTTCCAACTCTTTAATTTCCAGAGTTTTCAGTTTACCGGGGAGCTTACCAACTAGGAGCATTAACGTCATTATACGAGATACACCTACCTGGTGCTCCAAGTAAATATAAGGCTGAAGCAAGATACTCTGCACTGTATAAGCGAAAACATCCAAAGCAAAAAGACTTCACAATCTTGAAGAAGTAAACACAAAAAACACGTACTCACTTTGTACATAACATCAAACATGAAAGGGTTGAATACCGGTTTCGAAAACTCGATATGGCCACAATGGCCTGGGCAGTCTGCGAAATCCATGCCGCAGTGTGCACAAGTCTCGCTGTAGCCAATGACCCCTATGAAATATCTATAAGTAGTATGTTGATATTTTACCAAAATTTACGTCATGAAGCCCTCCATCTACCCCACGACCAGTAAATTTGTCGAAAGCCAGGTCATTTGTTACCTTGCGAACTGATAACCTTCTGACTTCATCAGGACTGTAGAATCCATATCGAAGACCAACTATTTGGCCAACGTTAGTACAATCCATTGCAAGGCGTGCGGTGTGCTCGAATCTTGCGGTGTTGAAATGACCTAGAACTGTTTTAGTTTCAGTTTAGGAAGGACGGTGGGTTAGGTGGACTGTGTTAGTTCTAGTGACGGCTGTCTCTCATTTGGTCCAACTTTCTTATGAGAGCGTCCACAGATGTAGCTTCAACCGCTTGTTGAGGTAATAAACTCCATTCGGTGTGAAAGCAATAGTCAGCCGACACGTAATTTCAGATGGTTCAAATAGTTGTGGACGGAATAGAAGCTTTCGTTTATCGGGCTTCTGTGTCTAGTAGTAGTGGATCACCAATACCTCCAGACAGGAACTTAGATTTACAGTGTCCTTGTATATTCCTTGTTTTGAATTACAAGAAAAGTGAGGGCATAACAGGTGTTAATTTATCACTAAGTAATTTGAAAACTATGATCGAGTCACCCTTAGTTTTTCTATACGACAACGGAAGTAGATTTAGTTTAGCCAGTCGAGAATCATAAGGGAGCTCCGTTATTCTGGGAATCAACTTAGTTGCGGTTCTCTGAACATTTTCCAAAAGCTCACTATCTCCTTCTAAGTAAGGACTAGCCATTTGGGTGCAGTACTCAAGTTTGAGACGAACGACTACTGTCCGTAACGTAAAAAGGTTTTGACGTCGCATGGCTAAAGGCCCAACGTGTTAACCATATGTCTCTAAAACCTTGGGAGGCTATCTCACGGCAGTGTGCAGTAGTTTTCAAGTCTTGACTAACGATAACTCCTACGTCATTGTGTGTCTGGACAACATGTAGTTCACGGTTGTTCCCCGTGTATGTATCTATACCTTCATGAACAATGTGCATCACAATTCATTTGAAAGCATTAATAGGCAATTGCTAATTTTGATACCACTCCAGGTCATTTTGAAGCTTTGAACTATCACCTTTACTTTTTATTGTTATCCATATATTAAAATCGTCAGGATGTAACAAAACCGATTATGATAGGTGAATAGGAAGGTCATTTACACACAGGAGGAATAACACTGGCTCCAAACTACACCCTGAGACACTCCGTCAAGCACGGTTTACCAGTTAGACAACTTAAAATCACCCATTCTCCTTGTTGACGTCCAAATGGAAAGTCTTCTAACCACATCAACAAAATGTCTCTAACCCCGATATAAGTTAACTTGTATAACAGTCGGTTGTGAGGAACTTTGTCAGAAGCTCTGCTGAAGTCAATGTAGGCTCCGTCATAGATAACATTTTATCTTTAAGCGGTCACCAATTTTCACGAGCTACTAATAAGTTAGTGAGACATGAATAACCTGTTCTGAGGCCATTCTTCTCTTCAGAAAAAATCTGGTTTCCGTCGAGATACTCAAACAGCTCCTTCGGAACAATTTTTCTGAAACTTTAACAATGAAGCTGGTTGAGTTTACAGGTTAATAGTTATCATGCTTATGTCTCGTCCCCGTTTTGGAGATAGGACTGAAGTATTCTTCCGGTCTTTTGGTAATCGACCCTGGGTTACAGATAGAATAAAATATATGTTTGAGGAATTTGTGACAACATTTGCCAGTTCCTTTAGAAACCTAGAATTCAAATCGTTGGATCCCATGAATTAGCCTATATCAAACACATTTAACAGACCAAATACATTGAGTTATCTAATGATCACAGTGCCCAGTGTGTGTGTGTGGGGGGGGTTGTATGAACTAAATGGGAGACTATATGGCATGTACATTGCCAAATAATTTGAGAGTACCTGAACTTTGACATAGTCACACTCCACTAATGGTGCAGTATTACTGTCTCCCAATAATTCTGAGATATTTCCTCTTCCCTTAGTCCATTGGTTTATGTACAAATATGAGCGTTTGAGACACTCTATAGATTGCTTAACAAGTTTTACAAATATTTCGAGATTCTGGATATTGGGACCTTGTCTCATCAGTACCCAGTAACCTAAATCTCTGTCATATTTTTCTCCTCTTACGAAGAATGATGCAAGCCTCTTTATTGGATCACAGTGGAGGGTTTCTCGAACCCCTTGGCGTAGTTCCAAGGATGTGTGGTGCAGTGAATTTCAGGTACAAATTTCTGAACATATCCCAAGACATTTTACTGGGGAACTCTGACCTTGTTGACCAATCTGCTGAGGATGCGGAATGCATAATACCTTGTATATTTGCTTTCCAGACTTTGGGTCTGCGATGGGCTGACACATGCTCGTTATCGACAGCTATGTGGAGTGGCATATAATAGAGGTTTGTGATGTCATCTACATAATGGGTCGATGTGAGATCTGATAAGGATGACTCGCAGTCCGGGTTTTACCTAGTTGCATCTCTCACATGTTTAACTGCGCCACATATGATGACCTCATTAATTAGTTTCTGTTCAAAGGAATTTTCTGACAATTCAGTCCTCTGTTCTTTCCAGTCGACTGTAGGCGTATAATAATCTACTATTAAACATCGACCACTGAATGATGAGGTGTTAAAACCGTACACCACTACCTCATTCACCTCACAGCTTAAACTGCGGTAGACCAAATCAATCAACAGCTTTTGTCTTCTCCATCTCAAGCGGCAAATAACTAATTCACACGTCCCATTCTCATGAGATGTTATCAATATTGGTCAATGGGACAGAACGCCTGATGAGTAGATCTTCTTCTACTCCTTTACGTTTATGGATTCTGTTGCCTCTTACTAATGTGAAACTTTTAAAGCCAATTTCCCTACTATCTATAGACTGCGCCAGCCAAGTTAATGTGACTGCTATTATATTCAGCTTAGCAGAGTCTATCTGTGCACCTATCTCCGACCGCTTATTAAGCAAGCTCCGGGCACCTGGGAAACAGATTCAAAAGCCATTAGAGGTCATTTAAACACCAGACACTGGCAGCTGACAAAGGTAATCTATTGCTCCTCAGAACACGTATGTGAAGAGCCAGAGCTGGTTATGAGATGTAGAGGTATGACTTTACCGTTCTTGAAATTAATTTGATGTAAAGTTATTTAGCTAAGTCAACCAGTTTTAGTCCGAAAAGAGGATAGGTAACTTTAGTTGACCCAGTTTCCTGTTGAATGATTTACGAAATCGGACTTGAAAAACTTGTTGAGTCATGAAGTTCCAACGGTTGATGATTCGATTCGAAAATCGGTAGTCCACTGACAAGAAGTTTTTTCTGGACTTGTCAAACTTTTCAGAGTTTCTCAGGAAATTCCACATTTTAGAAGACAAGAAAACCAGGGCTTGTAAGCAAAAACTATTACGATGTAATCTAAAAACTGTAACTGAGTCACCGAAAATCCCTCTATATGATGAGGAGTATATGTTTGGTTTATCCTGTCTATCATCGTACAGCTGTTTTGCAACTCGGGGAATCAGCATTATTCTGGTACTCTAAACATTCGCTAACCGGTCATTGTCCACTTTTATTAGAAAGTACGAAGAATTGTATGCAGAACTGAAGTTTAGGATGAACAAATATTGTATTGCACGTCAAAGGATTAATATATTGACAAATGGGGTTCTTAGAATTTTAGCAGCTGTTGCACGGGACTGTGTAGTGATTTTCTGGTCTTGAATGACACTGACTCCTAGATTAGTGCGTATCCAGGTAATAGGTATCTCAAAGTCATTCACCGTGTGTAATAAAAGGAATGCATTAAAAATCCTCTAAAGTGTTTTATTGGGCAGTGTGTATCTGTTAGATTATTGTTTGGCTCGTCATTAGTACTACTATGATAATAAACCTAATTCCAAAATTTCGGACTTGTCATGAAGGACTATTTAATCTATAAAATTTTGCGTGGAAGTTCCTTCATTGTCTAAACTGACTCGTCCTGTATAGACATCAGCAATATGACGTCTAGCGCTTTTGAAGAACGCATTTAGGCTGGATAGAAAGTAATATATTTTATACAAAATACAGTAAGCTATGCATAGTGACCACGCCTGTATAGCCGGTCCACACCATCTTGAATGATTGTTTGGGTGTTCACCGTTGCTGACCTTTTCTTCGTGTTAATTGTTGATTATGAATTGTTTTAGTAATTATATGTTCAGCTTCGAGAATTTTGTGGTTATGAATTAATATCACTACATACATATACCTTGGTGTTCAATATGGATCACAATATACCTTAAGGTATTTGTCAGTGCTGGGGCAGTTCGAAAAATATGCCTCGTTAAGTTTATACAATCAAAGAAATGCCGGAGAAACTTTTCACTCAATCACCATTCAATTGAATTCAGCAGAAACATCTGGCAAATACAAAATCACATATCGCTGTTTGGATCGGATATTTAACCATATTGCTACTATATCTATAAACTTCCGGAAACACAAGGGCAGGTGTATTACCATGAATATCTACGTCTTACTGTGCAATAACTTACGTTGGAATAAAGCTCTTATCGAAATGTGGGGTCCTTTTCAAATGTTTCAGTTGATGTTTGGGGGTAGTTAAAAATGTCGGGAACGGCTAGCAAGATGGTTTAAGCGTCTCAGTTGGGAGACTCATCAATCAGTAACTTTTGAACTCTATACTACCTAGATAATTCCTCTAGGTCATCTTGAAGGGCTAAATTATAATTTTTTTATTCCTTACTGCACTCCATGACTTCATATACTTAGGAAATAACGAAGCCGACTTTGCTAGAACAATAGGGACATTTACACACAAGAGAAACAACACTGAACCCAAGAATGTGCCCAAGAGCACTTCAGTAAGTTCAGTTTTCTAGCTGTATAATTTTGAATTAACATGAACTTATGGTTGGTGCTCGACTAGGCAAACGTTTGTTCACATGAATTCTCCACCACTTAAAAAAATATATGTCTAGATAAAAACAGAATGGAGTCCTTGGTACCATTTTCTAACTTGGTGAATGATATTCTTACTGACTTTATAGCTGATCATATTTTCGCTTATCATAATTCAGCCTAGTTTAATGCTTATAGTCACTGAATCTACTTAGTAATCTGAACGCTTAACCATGTTGCTCGTATACGAGCTCTTAGGTGATTGTAGCTTTACTTGCGTACTTACTTAC